TAAGAAGAATATATGCAGTGTGTTATTTGTTGAAACTGTACTTCGATTTGATTTGAAACTGTCTCATTGCTATCTGTTTATCAATAAAATTAAAAAAAACAAACAAACAAAAAAGAAATTTTCACCTGAATTTTACATGAATTCTTCCAAAAATGACAGTTTTAGAGTTTACTAGTTAACTTTTCTCCAGTGCTAACCTTAACAGCTACGTGCTAACTGGATGGATGAGAATATGTTACAGTGTGTTTCGATCCGAGGCTTTGTTCATTTGTGCTGTAATTATCTACCTTTGGATCATCAGAAAAGGATGCCAACTTGCTTCTCTGAGAGAAACACACACACACACACACACACACACACACACACACAGATGCGTGCCAACAGAGCGACACAAACTTAAGTCTGAACTGCAGGCAAAGTCTCACGGGCAAAATTGGTCCACTTAAACATATGTTCTTTTTATTTATAGGAAAAGACAGTAGCTACCAGAAGTAGAGCAGGACACAGACTCTGGATCAGGAGGACATAGTGAAGCAGGAGGGCAAGACCAGCTACTCTGCATACAGAAAACTACAGTTATCCCCGGCAACATATTAGCAGAAACTCTGGCTTTAGACATCAAGTTTCAAACATAACGATGCTCTAAAGTGAACTTTCATTTGATTTTGCCTTGTACATACATACTCCTTTGGGAAACAGCGGTTCTCAGAAAGAAAAAGCCCATGAAATACACGAACTGGGTCACCAACAGCACCACTCTACTCACATACTGGGGCTTTCTGTGTTCTGCAGGCTTGTCCCCCACGGCCCCCGCTGCTGCTGGGGTGCTTCTGTCCCCGCTGGGGAGGCACGTTCTTTGGGGACCCTGAGCATCCATCTCAGAGGGAAGTTTGACGTCTCCGACTCCCAGAGCCTCACTCTTGTATTTCTTCACAAACTGCTCCATCTCCTTCACCTCCTTGGGAGACAACTCGTGGCACCTGGAAGGGTCCTGGTCGTGCGCCGGGAGCTGCTTGGCCAGCTGCTTCTTCCGGTACTGCGCGCCCTCGGAACCCGCCACCGGCTGCTTGTCCTTGGGCAGCATCCGCATGTACTGCCTGGCCTGCAGCAAGGAGAGACACGTTACGCGCGGGAGTACTGGCCGTTGGGCACCGGGAGCAGCACGAGCAGGAGGCTGAAGAGTGGAGTGACCCATCAGCAGCAGCTCACTTTCATTCTGTAAATACCTTGGGATGTTAACGCATTAGAAACTGGCAGACAACACAGAAGCAGGTGGGTAATACACACATAGCTCTTGATGAATTTTTCAGTTTATAAAAAGATTTTAATTGCTTCTATTTACTTGTGCTAAATCAACAAATCTATGACTGAAAGGCAATGTACATTTTTTTGGCAGACTTAGTTACAATGGCCTGTGGATGAGCAGCATCTTCATCCTATGAAAAGCAACACCACAAATTCACTTAAATGACCTAACTTTTTTCAGAGACTTCTAAATGCTTCATCCAGTTGTCATAACAGTGGAAGGAGCTCAACACAAACTTGAATTTTTTTGCCTTATACAGTAAAAAAACAAAATGTTTAACATTTTTTATTCAGCAAATGGCAGAAATTTATTCCTTAATTATTCTCTGCCAGTTTATGAAAAATCTTCTCAAAGGAAAACCAGGAGTTATTAGACTGATAGAAAACATGCAATTTTCAGGTAGTTATTAAGCACAGTAGATCACTCCCTGCAACCTTTCAGTAGGCAGAAAAATTCTATGAGGTATTTTCTAGTCTTCCTTTCAAAAAAAAAGCAATAGGAGCTGGAGACCAAGTAATGGGATCCCCCACCCCAAGTAACAGATGAAGGATACATGAGGTTGGTATGTCACTAACGGAACTGTCCTGAAGAAAGTCCAGGACAAAGGGATTCCCACTGCCTTGCACTTACCAGCGCCTGGTTCTGGACAGGAGGAGCCCACTCATAGGTGACGGTGTTGATAGACACATTCTTCTTGGCGGCCACTGGGTTGGTCAGGATCATCACGTTGCGCTTGTACATGGGGACTCCGTCCGACTTCAGCTTCGCGATCAGGGTGGTGTACTTGGTGTCTTCAAAGAGCTTCCCCACTTTCCGGTCCTCTTCGTTGCTCAGGAGGAGGTCATGCTCCTCTTGGCCACACTTGCAGTTACGACATATCTTTCTATAATTGAGAAACATAAGCAGGAAATGGTTGGCTACACCGCACTGGCAATAAGCATCAGCACACACATATAGTTCACGCAGCACTTTTAAACATTTATAATGGTATGCAAAGGCCAGTCTTTCCTGGGGGAAGGGTGTTTACACACAAATATAAGCAAGACCGAAATACAGAACATATCTTGTGTCTCGGCTACTTTTCTCTCATTGCTGGGACAAGTATCTGACACCAAAAGAAAGGAAAGGTTCATTTAGCTCACAGTTTTAGGAGGTTTCAGACCACACTCAGCTAGCTCCAAGGCACACTGGCACACGGCAGAGGGCAGCCATTCACGGTGGCAGCACGGAGCAGAGCAAAATGGAGCAGCAGCAGCAACCCTGGCTACAGAGAGCAGGTCTGTGCCCCTGATGTTACTTAGGTTCAGGCCGTCCGCCCCAGGTGGCTGCAACACCCCTAATCCCAGCACTGGACCAAGAATGAGTCACAAAGTCTAGAAGCCGCCCCATGACTGCAGGAGGCTTGGGGGGACACCTAGACACAAGCCACACCACCTGTTCCTTCTAAGACTTTGGACTATGACTGAAAAGCACATGCTCAAGGGACGTGAACCCTTCTGCCCCTGCTTGTTCTCACTGGAACAAATAAAAACATAAAGAAAAACAAATCACAGCACTGGGCTTCACATTTTACTGCATGTTAATGTTTCATTGCCTTTTCCCACAACAAAGCTGTACGTGAAAACAGGAGACCAACAGCACTTTTGCCGTCAGACGACCTTTCTCGCTTCTTTTCCATTCCCATTTCTCTTCCCTTCCCATCTCCATCTAATGCTTTCTTTAGCTTCCCCTTTCTTTCACTCATTTCTTTCTTACTTGCTTACCACCTAACCGTGTCTTCCACTATGTATACAAAGACAGGTGAACAAGTGTCTGCCCGTGTGGCAGGGTATCACCTCCTGTGCCCAGTCTGCCCAGGATCGGCTTTGCAGAAGTCAGACATCCACTCGCAGAGCCTGCCGTCCACCCGCGTGCCGGGCAACGTGCTCTGCGCAGGGCAGCGTGGAAAGCAGGCTCCATCACCAGCCTCCCGGGACCACCCTGCCAGGGAGTAACTTTCGCTTGAGCTGGGGAGAAAGTGCTTCCACAGGAAAGTGACATTTAGGTTGGATGTGGAACATACAGTTTATGCTAGGCGTAGGGAATAGGAAAGAAGGGAGGAGTAAAGCCCTCCTCCACTGTGGGTAGAAAGAGGGGTTACCTGCAGGAGTCCTGCTTTAGAAAAAAGATTGTTCCTCAGGGAACCAGCAGAGCCTGGTATGGCTGTAATGAGAATAAGCGGAATGAGCAGAAGGCTGAGAAGGCAGGCCTGTGGTCGTGCAGGCCTCAGGAGGACGCACCAGGGATCTGGCCTTCATTAGGAGCGCAACCGGTGGGCAGGGAAAGGCTTCAGGCAACACGATACCACGATCAGATCTACACGGAATTTTAAATGCCACAAACCCGCCCCATGGAGAACGACTGAGGGTAGCACAAATTTGGAAGTGGGGAGACTTCCTGCTAACTGGGCATTTAACTTGCAATGGAATGGCTCCTAGTGACAGGGACTTGTGGCCAGTTCACAAGTGAATTTCCATGTTTGATGGCTAGTGTTGTGGTCCAGGCAAGACGTGTTATGGCTTGGATTAAGGCTTCACCAGCAGCGATGAAAAGACGCAGACTGGAGCTGTCCCTGAGTGTCAAAGTTACCTAACCGTGCCCCTGGGGGTCACGTGGGTGTGACGCTGGGTTCTTACGCAGGAAAACTGTGGCATCAGAACCTGCAGCCGAGTCTGAAACACAGGACAACAGGTCGGCATGTTCTGGAGATCTCACACTCTCAGAACTCAGTAGGCTCGGCTTGCACCTAATGCACTGAGGAACTAACAAGAGATCTTCACAGCTCACATGCTCAAACTGGAAGGGAGGAAACAAAAATCATGAAGCAAAGTATTCAACTCAGGAAGCTTGGGAAAAAAGGCAGAACTACCCTGGAGTACCAGAAAGGAAAAGAAGACTAAGGGCAGAAACCGATAAAGTGAATAGCTGCTTTTCCTTACACGCAGAAGTGGCTCTGGAAATACTTTAACACCTTTTGTGGTAACAGCTTAGTAACTTCATCAAAAGAACTAGCAGAGTCTGGGAATACTGGCACGTGCCTGTAATCTCAGTGTTGGGGAGGCTGAAAATAGGAGGTTCACTATGAGTCTGATCTGGTAATGAGACCTTGTAGACCCTGGATTAAGTACATTAAAAGAAAAGAAAAGAAAAGAAAAGAAAAGAACTAGCAGGATTTCAGAGTTTCAGGAAAAAGCAAAACGAAAATCACACCCTAGGCAAATACTGAACTCTGTACAATGGTTTTCAGATTGGAAACAAGAAGGTAATCTGATATATCTAATTCTATTCCTACCATCCTGAAGGTATGGCTCTGAGCAGTGAGAACAATTTTAAAATAGGAAACATAAGCATTCATCAGAAAGGAAGAAACTAAACTCTTACAGATACTACGGCTGATCGTATGGAAAGGCAAGTGGCTACACTGAGAACTCAAGTTTAGGCAGGTGTGGTGGCACAGGCCTGCCAACCCAGTGACATGGAAGGCTGAGGCAGGAGGAGCGAGGCTGGGTGACCCAGCACCCTGATGAATCTCTGTCAAGTAACAAATCAATAGATAATTATATATACTTGGGTCTTGAATGTTCTTAAAACTGTTTTCAATATATGAACTCAAATATTAGATCTCATGCACAGTAAGAAGGGGGGACAGAGATAGGGTAGGGGGAGATGTGGACAGACAGACATAAGGGTAAAGAGGCAAATTCCTTTTCTTGCACACACGTTGGGCAGAAGCCTTTAGGTGGCAACACTTTGTGGAGACAGCCTGTCTTAGTACAGCAATAAAGGACTCTTCCTCCCACCTGTCATCTCCTAGGCCCAGCCAGTGGAAGGAGCATGTCATCCTGTAAGAGCATGAGTTTTATTACTGCTGTCTTCAGGTACCAAAACCAGTGAAAATACTTACAAAACTGTCACACTACTTTTGGATCCCATTTAAAATGATCCTTTCCTGAGGAGAGTGGCGGGGTGGGGACTTAGAGCCTTGTGTGGCTGGGGACTAAGGCATGCACCTGAACAAGGAGAAGATGACTGCCTAAAGGGTCACGGATTTGCGAGGAACGCCAGCCTTGGGCCGCGGGCGTCATCTGCTTCACACCAGTATAGGACGAGCAGAACAAGGAGCACCTTTTAGCAGCTTTTACGATAAACGAACGGTAAAAGACACAGTAAGCGCAACAAAGCCTGGTGGTTACTGAGCACGACCAGCTACAGCACGCTTAAGCAGCGAGCACTTGCTGTGGGAGTTTGCACTAACCAAGCGTCCCGCAGCCATGTCTAGGATCGTTTACTCCTTGTCCTGGCCGCTCTCGGAAGGCCTCATATTCTGAGAATGCCTGTTTTGCTGTTGACTCATGCACCTACCAAGCATACCTTCATTACAAAAACAAACAAACAGGTTAAAACAGCACACCAGCATCAGCAGAGATGAGGGAAAACAGGTAGCCAAAAGATTCGTACGAGGCCTATCAATTTGCTAAGCAGGGAAGACCTGGGCCTAGCGCATTATCCAATCAAATCCAGCGCACGGTGTAACTGGGCGTCCCTACCTGAGCCCCAGATGGTGAGCCCTTGGTAAGCAAGGGTTTAGTAAGAATGCTCACAAGGGTGGGGCTGTCGCTCTGGCTGAAACTGTCACACCAAAGAGCTGGGAGGATCACAGTCCTCTCAGCTCCCCCCACGCTGCACCCCTGCTACAGGGAAAAGAGCTACCGCAACCACTATGCGAAACAGAGGCCTAGGCAGCTACTACTTATTCAATTTAAAAGCAAGAAAAGACCACAGTATCTGGTATGGGGGGTGAAGCAGGGGAAGGGATTTGCAATTAAATTTAATTAAATGCCTTTATTGACCTTTTAAAAAAGATGTAGAGGAACATGGGAGCTCTGATATGTGGCTGTGTAAAAAGTTATTTATACAAAAATAAATTAGGAGAGCTAGCGAGATAGCTGAGCAGACTAAGCGTCTGCCTAGGTAGGCATAGGAACTGAGGTTTGATCCCTAGCACCACATGTGGCGCCGGCCCCAGCCCTGTGCACACTGAGCCCAAGTCCAGGCGTGGCAGTGCATGCCTGTAATCCCAGTGCTGGGGAGGCTGAAAACAGGAGGATTACAAGTTTGAGCTGCCTAGTGAGACCCTGCACCAAAACAATTAGTAATAACAAAACCTCCCCATCTACTGCACATACACATGGAAACATTATTATGCATAAGCCAAAACTCTGCTCAAAAGAGCGAGCTGTTCCCAAGGGAGAGAGCCAAACCAGCGAAAGTACTGCCCCAGAAAACCAAGAGTTACAGCTGCAAGCTGAACGCAGTCAAGGGCTAGCCCTTAGCTTCCTGCTGTATCACAATTCATAAAAATTACTATTTTTCAGAGCAAGTCCCAGAAACCGGAGAGCCTTGCCGCGCTGCCAACAAGCTAGGGGATTTAAAGGCAGGGTCCCGGCGCTGCCGTGAGCCAGAACCGGAGGGCCGGGAGCCGCCCTGTGATAACAGGGATGCACATATATGGACTTGTGTGTGGGCCTCGGTGACAGAATCCAGCCAGGCAGTAATCCATCTAGGGTGGAGAAGTTTCTGTTTTTAGCCAGCTCTAAAGCAAGTGGAAAGTCTGAGGAGATAGCTGTTGTAATCAAGTAATACTTTCTTTAATCTGTAAAATGCAATAGTTTTATTGGAAGGATTTAACACAGCTAAGTCAAAACAGCAAAGATGTCACCTCCACAAAGGCCTATGATTATGAGATTACTGAATGGTAATGCAACAACTGGCTATAAACTCCTTCAACTTCTGTGTTTGTACTAGATGCGTCACAAATATTGGTCTCTAAATAGTATTTGGAAG